ATGGCAGATAGTATGGAGAATTACTAATTAGATCTTGGGAGTGAAAGGGTTAACCCTTTTACACCTGAAAGGGTCTAGCATCTAATTTCTCTTCATAATATATCACCCCTGAATCAAACATTAAATAAAGGTCACAATAATAAAGAAAATAGGCAGTTAATACACCAACATATAGATATAAATAACCAAAATATACATACGGCTACTAATATAGAACAATTTTTTAATAGCATTGAAAGAACCAGGTGTTGTGTGATGATGCAGAAAGAAAGACTTGACTTCTTTTCTTGAGGACACTTGCACCATTTGTAACTTATGTATAGACGTTTGCAATGGAAGTTTATCACTTTTTAATTGAATAGTTATAGATTAGTGAATATTTCAAATATCAGTTTTCTTGGAACTAAGCAATATTAAATTGATAAATATAGCAGATTTTTTCCAATTTTATCATTGCGAGGAATATCAGGTAAAACTCGGCAGAATCTGTTGTGGATGAAGAGGTCATTTGTATTCTATTGTTACCCTCACTCAGCTCAACAGGACAACATAATGGCTTTGCTTCCATGGGAGGCAATAGCAATAAAAATGATCACTAGCTGAAGAAGCTCTTGATTGTTAAACAACTTCTCCTTATCAGCACCCTATAAATTGTATAAGGAACGATATGGAGAATATGCATACTGATGTTAAAGTGCAAGGGGTTTACTTCTGTCCTAAATCTCCACACAGCCAAAATCTAATCCAATTTTAAGAATTAATTGAAAAGAAAAATTAATAAATATATTAAGTTTTCACCGCGCAACTTTGGTCTTAAAACATATTAAGCAAATTGACCTAAAATCTACATGCATTAAGTTACCATACATTAATATTACACACACACATATACACGAAAAAAAAAATTATTGTATTCCGACTTATCATATGTTGCACATATTGAGCTTATGTACATAACTAATATAATCCTAGTTTCTCTTTCTCAAAGGCAAAGCTCACATAATAAATTTATCACTCTTGATCCAGCATTGCAAAACACATCTCCTGGTCACAAGCTTGCGTTCTGCAAAGATCTCAAGCTGAAATTCATCGCTTGCGATTATGTTTGTTGTAGATATTGCAAGGAAAGTGATGTAGACTTAAATGTAAATGCATCCACGTGGAAAATCTCGAGCCAGAGGTAGTTGTTAATTTTTTTTGCATGATAAAGCTTCTGTAGCATTAATATTCTTGTTACGATGGCTGCAATCAATGACGCTCTATTTGTTCGATGTTTATCAATATTTTTTAAATTTTTCCACTACAAACTAGCATAGAACACACATTTTGGATGATAACCTGTATGTAAAGATGGCAGTGACTTCCAATTTTAAGTCATGGCAGATTTCTGCGAGATGAACAAGTTGTGCATTTGCAGTTCATGGTTTTCCTCTTAAAAAACTACACTTAAACAATTCAAGAATTTGAGACGCATCTGTATTGAAACGTACCTCTTGGTTAAATCTCTCGCCTTATTTGGTGACCTCAGACAAACAATTAACAGAAATAAATTTAGGCTCACTTCAGAGGATTGTGCAAAGCCATTTGCATATATTAATAAAATGCCCTGGGGATATGCAAATTATCAATCATAGTAAAAAGACCACCTTAGGCCCACCCCTTGCATGCTACACTAGACCGCTGTTAAGATTAGATCTAAAAACACCGCAAAAATAATCTTCCCAACTTTATTTTGTAAACTTGACTTTTTTATGATCACCCTTACAATATTTGTAGAGCATGATGTAATAGCTCATAACCCATGATGGCTGGAAGCCAATGGGAGTTAAAAGGTTACAGCCTCTACGTCTTCCATAATATAACAACGTAAAACATTTTAATTGCCTGGTGGTTTAAATACCTTCTCTACTAGTTCCTCAAAAGTAAGTTGAACCCCCTCTCTTGTTCTTGCACTACAAAAAAAAGAAGCAAGATTTGTTCATCAAAAATAAAACTTAGATGACACAATGTACAATTATTTTGTTGAAAGACAGGATACCATTTTAATCACCGGCTAGAAACTCATTAACCCTTTAATTCCCAGAAATGATCAACAAGTAACTTCTCCCTATAATCTCCATACATTATCCAACAAACAGGTAATGAGAATACTCAAACTTATCAGGTAGAAGTTATAATTATGGTACGACACCAAATTCTCCCAACTAATTTACAAGGAAATGTGTAACAGCCAGAGGGGAGAATTAACAATTAGATCTTGGAAGTTATAGGGTTAAAAGAATCTCTTTACTACCTTTCTGTACAATTTTAATAACATACTCTAATTAAAATTATGGCTTTTTTTCATAAAAAGAATAAACATTTGAACATAAAATAACAACTTTTTAAAAATTTTTTTTTGTCATTCTTCAAGTCCCTGAACAATAATTGTCTTCATAGTTGTTTCACCAAACCACCTTGTGCCATTACATAGGTGGCTGTTAAAAAAAAAAAATTGATCCTTGATTCCAGGGGAATAAATATTTCTCACTCAAGCTGACACTAACCTTGCTTCAATAAATAACATGGAATGTCTTCTTGCAAATTGTAATCCCTGTTTTCTATCAACTTCACGACCCTCCTTAAAAGCACAGTATGAAAATCTGAATTTCTAGTACATCAAGCATGCACAAAACCTTACTGTATGCAATTACAGTTAATCCTGTACCAAGCAAATACATGTACCCACAAGAGATTTTTAAAGTTTAGGAATATTGGAAGATAGGAATATTAATCAAACACAACAGCCTAAGAAATGATGCTAAGTCTAAGTCTGATTGAAAAAAAAAAAAAAAAAAAAAAAAAAGGTTCCATAACTTACAGTATAGACCACCAAGGTTAGTAAGATATTCATTTTATCTCTAGGTTCAAATTGAGGGAGAAGACTCCAGTTTTTAATAATAAAAATTGGGTAATAATAATCTGGTCTAATATAAAAACAAAAAGGTTTCACTGTACCTTGTCTATTTTGTTGCCAACAAGCATTTTTATGATGTCTTTTTTTGTTGAATACATTTCTATTTCATTGAGGCATTCTTCCAATTTCTCAAACGTCTCTCTGCTGCTTGTATCATAAACTAAAGGGAAAAAAAACAAGATTTTCTTGAATGTTATCATGAACAGTCTCATCCATATTTTTTCCCTATTATTGTGCTAACTTAAATAGAATAAGTACCCTCCTTCCAATAAGTGCCTGTCCTTTCCACCAGAATTTTAAATCAGTGCCTGGGAAGTTATCTGAGGAACTATGGTATGTGCCATTGATGTTGTTAGCATAGGGAATCAGGGGAAACTTAATGCAAACTATTTCAGCATTTATTAATTTTCAGAGGTGATTTGACACCAACATAAATGTCAACTCACCACTGAAAGTTAAGAAATGCTTAAGTTTCTATTAGGCTGAAAACTACTGTGTATCAATATCAGTGCTGCAATTTTGTCACCTTCTCTCACGATACAAAATCAACAAGACAATTTTTTTTGAAGAGTGATGACAGCAAGTAATTAGGAGGTGAAAATCATTTTATTTCTAGTACCTAAAATAACTCCTTGTGCTCCCCTGTAGTAGCTGGGAGTCAGTGTTCTGAAATGTTCCTGCCCTGCTGTGTCCTAAAACAGAAAAGTGATGTTATAACCATTAAACTAACAAAACAAATTATCAAATTAATTATAAAGTAATTCGACAGTAAACCTTAGCTGTCACTCAAGCATCATGAATTACAGTGGTGTCATCATCCATCAACAGCAATTCTTACCCAAATTGCTAGTTTTGCTTTGTTTCCATCCACAGTCAAAGTTTTAACCTTGAAGTCAATACCTGTACAGAAGTCAGAAGTCAGAAGTTCATGTAAAAAAAAACAAACAAACAAACAGTACTATCACTAAAAACCAGAATGATATGAACCATTTTTTTCTTCAAAATAAGAACCCTGAAACAAAGATATCACTTGCCATACAATAACAGAAATGGATCTTAGAACCCCCTAGAGTGACTAGTATTCTATTTCCCCTCACAATATCACCCCTGAATCACACATTAAGGTTATGAGAATAAAGGGAATGATCACCAAAAAAGAAACTCTTGATTCTTAGACAAATTCTCCTTGTTAGCACCTTAGGAGATGTATAGAGAACAGTATGGAGAATATGCATACTGATGTTGGGTTGCAAAGGGTTAACTGGAAAACAATGGCTACATGATTTAAAGAATAATATCCACATTCAATAGCAGAGGAATTCTTCATATGTTATACAATAAATTATAAAGTATTTGTTTTTTCATAACAAAATACTGATGACCTGGTGCCATTGTTTCAAGCTAGACAGCACAATTTATCCCATAAATTGCTAACTGCTGGTGATAGCAATACAGGCTATGCTATTGATCAGATAGCAGGTCATTCAGTTGGTTAGTTTTTTCTACCTTTTGAACAACTGAGCTGGTCAAACAGCACACTGTAAAAGCTTTAAGTATGACTAGAGGATACACATATATAAATATCTTGGGTGCTGGTTACAAAGCACATAATGTCCAGATCTTTAGGACAGGAAGCATGAACTGTGCAATACCAGTAGAAGGTTTTATTTGTACAATCAACTCTCTGCTAATGAACAATCTTGTATGTAGTCAGCTCTTTTTACAGACACTTTTTTCACCTCTTAGTCAGACTCTGTTTTACCCATTCCAGTCAGCTGACACTCCCTTGTCAACGGTTGCAGACACTTTTGAAAGTGAAAATTAGATTGTTCTTTTGTTTATCCTCTCATGATAGCAGACACCCCATACATACTAATTGATTCTTGGCAATGAAATTTGTCTTTAATTTGCAAATCAACAAAAATACCTCCATTGACAAGGTAACAGAACAGTGGGGATCTGTTTATTCAAATCTCCATTTGGCCAAAAAAAGTGCAGTAAACACCTGCTTATGAACTCTCCTGTAAGCAGATATCACCCCTAT